CTAGAATTTTTTGGTTTTTTATTTCCAGCAATTTAAAGTTTAGTTTGTTATCGCCATTAAAAGATGTGTTTTCTATTTTTTTATGCAAATGACTCTAGTTGAGTCAAATGCAATGACCCAAAGAGACCCAGTACCATCTATTTCCGAGGAAAGTTTTGCTGTCAACGATATTCAGATATTTTGACACGTCCAATTATGGTGTTTCAATTTGCAAATCTATTTAAAGGGTGCATTTGAGACACTGACAGAGACGGATAAGATGTCACAAAAATCCTCTTCCATTTTTGAACGTGTACTTCGATAACGCTAAAATTGGCAGATATTTATGAGTTGCTTCATTCCACGGTTAGTAAGGTCCATTCAAGGATACCTCATCAATGAATAAGTTCTAACTGAAGGCTGTTTTCTTAATACAATGCAAAAAGCTGTTTCAAACTAAGAGACGAAAGCAGTTTTTATGTGTCTTTCGTTATTTAATCACCTGTGGTTGTTGTTGTTTTTCTTATAGTGAAGTTCTACTTGGTTGAAACCTTTTACTTTTCCATTTTCCAAGAGACACTTAGATAAGGTATCTTTAGCTTTGTACCAATGTCATTGATGCTTTGGACTGGCTCTTTACCTTTAGTGAAAAATGTCTGAATTTGGTTCCCAAATAGGACATTTACTTCATTGATTATATATTTATCTTTTTGCTGGATGTATTACCCTAAACGAAACGAACTGACCCTTATAGAAAGAACTTCTTACAGCCTGCCTTGTAAACGATCTAAATTGTGTCAGTGGGAGCGCAAAACATTTACAATCACCATTGTTTTGGATTCACAAACTCCAGACCTAATCGAATTTGGACATCTTGAGATTAGATTTTAATGCCATGCTCTGGAGTCGGGGTTATAGGGGGGAAGGACAACGTGAGGGTTAAGTAAACTAGAAGGAAAGAAGAGCGACGTGGAGAGGTTATTTACATGTGCCCAACCCACCTATTAAAGTGTAATTGCTTTCACCGGCGCTATCAACACATGTTTGTTGAAAACGGGCGTAATCTAAACAGCATTTTACTGGCATTTCGTGAAGAAAATAGCTGAGAATGGGTAGACACTAAGCGGCCATGTTGGATTGTTATACCAAAATAAAAACGTAATCAGCTCCGGCCGTTTTTCTAGCCGCCAGGCGTCGTCTCGGGTCACCCACCATTGACGTTCGGTGTCTAGCTCCAAAGTTTGCTTTTGATTTGGTTTTAAATTTGGTTTTCTTCTCCCTTAGCTTGAGGTATCGACTATTGTGTTCTGTGAGCAGTATTCGCTTGGATACGACAAAAATGTCTCACTTCATACATACAGACGTTTGGTTTTTACATATCCACTTCCTTGTACGCGTACTTGCTGTTGAACTCAGTCTAGGTTGAAGACGTCAATTCATCTCTTTCCAACTTCTCTCTCTCTCTCTCTCTCTCTCTCTCTCTCTCTCTCTCTCTCTG